TCAGTTACATCACCACTTTGCAACGTGAATCGCCCTATGTGTTCTAGAGTAGACACCTCTCCTAAGCCGGTAAACAGTGAGAATTCTGGCACTTTGTACCCTCTAGGTCATGGATATGCTTGGTCTACCCAATCAGGATATGGCTTTGTATACGTCGACCTAATGACAGGACGCATCCCAAAAGCCATCTGATCCTGCACGATTTCCATAATCTGGTTCCTCAACATGACATTGGGATCATATGGAATTCCTATGATTAACCGGTTGATTTGCATGAGGCCTGATGTTTGGTCCTTGATTGGCAACAAAATTACAATAGTTAGGGCCATTACCATTAGCCTGGACATCTGTTCCCTCATTACCACGTGGAATATTCTGTCCATTGTTTAGGACATTATCTCTCACGTTTGGGTTACCCCCCAAGTTAGGCATGCCATTACCATTGTTTTGATTTGGCACTGTAGTACCCCCTTGGTTTGAAGTAGAGGGACCAGAAAGCGGTTCTACCCCTTGATTCGGATTTAGGACAGAGGGATTATGTCCCACAATTGTCCTGGTTTGAAAGTGGTTTGTAAGAGGTATAGCCGGTTGACATATTTGGCCTACTAACTTATTCATTGTTTCGTTTAATGTCTTTAGCTGTTTGGCCATATTGTCATAGTGTGCATTTCCATTTTGTGTAAATCTTTCCATATTATGAATACTTCGAAGATTTACCTGTTCAACGACGTCTTGCGTGAGTTCTCCAAGTAATGTACGCATGGTTCGAGGACTCAACTCCGCCATTGGTTCGTAACGACTGTTACTGCTCTAATTTTGTCCATCTATTCGTAGAGAGGCATGCTGCTCCTCATATCGCTCTATTACAGACTGGATTCCTCCCTGACTTGCTCCTTCCTTGTCGGATCTCTGAGGCATATTGTTTCACCTTTTGTACTTTCAACACCTAACACCACTGTCCCACTGGGCGTGCCAAATTGTTTCGCGTGGGTTAAGTCGCTAACAATTAAAAAGGATCAGACGATTGTGTAAGGGACGAAACCTCTTGAAACAAAATCCCAAAAAAGGGTGTTCTTTTATTGGCGATGAACCTTACAATTGGAAATGGAAAACAACGTGCCTCCAAGGGGCGCAAGCACACGAGTTACTGAAAGAAAATTTTTTAAGTCTAAAAAACTAAGGAAATGAAAATTACATGTTCTCTGTTCGAGAGTTTTTTTTATTCCCCTTGCTTCTATGTCCTTTCTCCCTTTTATACTTCATAGACGATCTCTTTGTGATTAACTACTCTAAAAACTGCTTGATCGTCCTATAACTACCCACTTTCTTCGTAGTGGCCATTTTGTCATGAAAACTGCCTTTTAACTGCTGTCATTACCTTTCATCGTTCAACCGCTTTCGATTGAATTCTTTGAGTCGTGGAACGTGATAGGGCTGCTTTAACAACTGCCTTAATAACTGCATTTCTTGATAACCACGACGCGTTATGTCTGTTGATACCTTGGGCGACTTGGAGGTTTGGGCGAGAATAGAGTAACAGCTCTTGGCGACCGTATGACACTCTATTCGTTCAGATTCTGGGCGACTTGCAAATTTGGGCGATGGCGTTATCGCATTTTTGGGCCTCCTTATTTGGGCCTTCATCTTGCTTTGTTCGATTGGACTTCGTCCTTTGGGCTATCTGATTTGGGGATCCTCTAATTGGGCTTCACTCCTTGGGCTGTTCGATGGGCTGAATTTTTATGTGTCAACAAGTTTGTTGATGCAAAAACATTTTTATGTGTTGTGTGTTTCATATTTTAAATTTGATTATGCAAGATGACATTAAGCCTCCGTTTGATTCCATTCTTTAGCCACAAAAATGAAAAATATGATTGTTATCCATCACATCAAGCCATCACATTTGACTTTCTATCTTTTGTATGGGTCCTATAACGACTATATTTTTCATTCTCATTCTTACAAAAATGGATATCAAGAGGAGTCTAAATATATTGTCCCATAGTTGACAAAAGCCAAACAAACTGTTGCTTTTATTTCTATCTCTCTATCTCGCAAACAAGAATTTACGAGTGTATGTGCAAATTCAAATTTAGCCAGCGGGACATTTGCAATAGATATAGGTAGGAATGTCAATTGAGCTCGCCGGCTCGAACCGCCCGTGGCGAGGCCCGAAAAAAGCTCGAGCTTACTTGGCTCGAGGCTCAATAGAACCGAGCCAAGGCTCGGGTCGAGCTCCATTTTGAGGTTCTGGGCTTAGTCTGAGCGGGCTCGGGCCTTATTTTGGGGAGAGAAAAACAAACAAACAAATGAAGAAAAAAAAAGGCGTCAAGTGCCAATATAATTACTTAAAAAAAAAACAAAGAGAGAGAGAGAGAAAAAAAAAATTTCCAGCCGACTCAGGCTCAGCTCGCTAAAGCCCGAGCGGAAAGCTCGAGTCAAGCCTTGTGTTTTTAATCGAGCTTTTGCTCGGCTCAAGCTCAAAAAAAGTCCGTTTGATTTTACTCGAGCAGAACTCGAGCCTTGAGTTTCGACTCGCGAACCAACTCGACTCGACTTGTTAACATCCCTAAATATAGATAACGAGTAGAACTCTACTTATCTCATGCTATACTCATTTGTTAATCGTGATATGGTTATTACTAATATTTATAACGATAACAATTCATGTGGTTCTAATACGGTTATTACTAATATTTATAACGATAACTTCTATGGGGGCACTACTAATGTTGAAATCTCCAACCAATTCTTGTTTAACATTTCAACGTCAACCGCCCTGAAAATCATTGAGAACACCGTCAGTTAGTCACATAAGTCAAACAAAAATACTCAACATTATTCTGTATTGTACTTTATTTTACTGCAATTTGTGTGTTGTTAGTTAATATATTAATTCATATGATTTTATGCCACTCTATACCAATGAAATTGCACATTTTTGGATACGAGGTATGCCAGCCAACGGCCGATGAACAGAGTTTCTGAGAAATTCGGAAATATCAATGAGTAAATAACAGAAACAACAAAGAGAAGAGGATAAAAACTCGAAATATGAAAGTATATCGAGCTTGCTCTCGATAATAAAAGAGAGATGTTTTGTGCACTCATAAACTTTTAGATTAAGTGATTTTAACATGGACAAACTTTTGAATTCGAGCATTTTCATTACTTTGATTGTAAAAAATTATATCCCTGATTGATATAGATTAAAAGTTTATAAAAAATTCAAATCGAAGCCAATAATTAATTTTTTTCCACACATTTAATAGGATTCAAAACTTTTCGATCACACATTTCATTAATTTCTATGCACACATATTAAAATTCTAATTTTAATCTATACTAAACAAGGACCATATATGTGTCAGGCTTCTCAAGAAAATAAATTCAATCATGATATATGTACGGATTTTTTGATGAAAAATTTTGACGGACAATATTTGGCTTGACACCATTGAAAGATGGAGAAAAAAAGGCCAATCAGGTTCGACCACAATGGCTCGAAATCAATTCTGTTAAAATTTTCTTGTATTTGGAGCTTTATTGATATGAATTTAGCTGCACATTGTTTCGGGGGAGGGGGTTAGAATCAATAAAAGATTTTAAGGTGTTTGACAAAACTTAAGATAAAAGTTTTTATATATTTTGATAAAAATTAATGAAATGTGCGATTAAAATTGTGAATCTCGTAAAATGTATTGTTCAATTAATTGTTGACTTTGACTTTAATGTTTTAGCAACTTTCTAAGCTTTCCAAAACACGCACCAAGTCGTTTTGTAAGTTGTATGCATTCGTAAACAAGACATGAGTGTTATGTTCTTTAGAAAATCCGCCCAGTTTGTCACATACAAAACTCCAAATCTGAAGGCTGAAATTAGATATATAATCTGCTAGACTAGTTTATATTTTGCCTGTTTCGCATAGCTGAAGGTTGAAAATTACATATTTTCCTGCTAAATTTACACCATGAGTACCAATGGGACAACCCAAGAGAAGAAAACAATCCCATTTAGTCCCAGACAACATTCGGTCGATAGTATTTCCACACCCAAGTTAAGGCCAAGCAACTCCGGTGCCACCCCTTCTCGCGGCTTTTGTAGGCGGTTGAGCGACTGCATTGTCATGGGGCCTGCAGTCAATTCACAGCCCTGCCACCAAGAGCCACCACCGACAATGAAACTCGGCAACCTCAGCCAGCAGGTATATACATGTTGATGCATCGATTGCAAAAACATAACATGTAGTGTATGTTTGATAGTAGTAGACAGTACTTGAAAAGTCATGTCTATGTACAAATACATGCAGTATTTGTTTTGTTTGATTTGTTGGAGTCTCTGAAGCCTAATCATTAAATCTCTCTGTCTTCCATTAAATTAAACCCTTGTTTGGGCTCCGTTAAAATTAAATTTTGAAAAAAAAAAATTTGTGTTTTGTAATAGTAAATATTTAGAAAATATGTCATTTAAAAATAAGAAAATTTTTTAAATTTACGTGTAATATTATTTTATTGAAAAATATAGTTAAAAAGAAGAAAGAGAAAATTGTATTTTTACAAAAATGAAGCCCAAACATAGGTAGGCTAAAACTCTTTTTTTCTCAAACTCATTTTCAACTAATATTCACATAATAAAATATTTTGCTCATAAATTCAAAACTATTTCCTACTTGTTAACACTACACATTCTCCAAAAATGACTCGAAAACTTATTTAATAAAAAAAAAAGAAAAAGAAAAAAAAAGGAACCTCTCCTTAATGGAAGACAAACAGAGGCTAAGTAGTTCATACACGGCTATTAGCGTGGAGTTAGCCAAGAAAAGCCCTTTTTGTGGCAAGGTTTATTCATTTTAATGAAAAAAACTATAATGGAATATGCATGCAACTCTCGCATTGAGTGTACCAATTCTCGTGTTTATTATTACGTTTTGCTTATTCTTGGTTTCGTGATTGGGATTTGGGCTTCGTACCTAATGTGAGATGACATAATTTTGGCTTCATATGAAGGTTGAAGAGATACAAAAGGAACTTCAAAAGCACAAGGAGCTAAAGCGCATGTACAAGATGAGGCTAGAAAGAACACAAGTTTATCTAAAACAGTGTCTTCAAGTAGCACAAGACAATGGTTTCTTGGACCTTTTACATAACAAGTACAATAAAGAGAGAGAACCCTCAATTTCTCCGAGTATCACACGGTCCTGCACCAGTCCTCCAATACTTTCTCCGGCACTACGACATTTTGAACTTGCAGCCCTCATAGATAAAGCCAAGACGAACGGGTGGTACATCGAGCCTAACGAGGTTTGTCTCATCACTTTTTCGTGCATAACATACTTATAAAAATTGTTCACATGTTATCTTGTTGAGAGAGACCGTTCGATAAGTAAGTTTGCTTTCTCTCTAACAACTTAGATGAAACACCTCAAACGGGCCCATTGTAAAGATACTGTCTTTAGCTTCCTTAGTTAAGACCAACTATTATTGTCAGCAGATCCAATTCTTTGGAATTATGGCCTTGATGAAGAAACTTATATCCTGCAAATGAAGTTATCCCATGAAATTGTTGTGCTATTTTCTGATTGTCTGATTAAAAGCAGATTCAACTGAATGAATTGGCCGCACAAGGAAGTACTGCAGACATATACAGAGGAAGATGGAGAGGACTTGATGTTGCAGTAAAGTGCATGTACCCTGATTTCTTTCGATCAAACGAGGATGGGGTCAGTTTCTTTGCACAAGAAGTCGAAACTCTATCAAGACAACGACATCCTTTCGTGCTACAGCTAATGGGAGCATGCCTCGAACCTCCAGAAAATTGTTGGATCGTGACCGAATTTTTGTGCTCCAACCTTAAAGATTGGTTGCACGGTCCAGGAAGTCGAAGGAAGGAACGATCCATTCCCCTTCCACCATTGAAGGAGAGATTTGAAAAGGCATTGGAAATTGCTCAAGCAATGCAATATCTTCACGAAAACAAGCCTAGGATCCTTCACCGCGACTTGAAACCTAGTAACATTTTCTTGGACGATGCATTGCACGTTCAGATTGCGGATTTTGGTCATGCTCGATTCTTGAGCAATGAAGAAAAGGCACTAACTGGAGAAACAGGCAACGAACTAAACTTTATCCTCAATAAATTTAGCGTCAGCATCAGAGTCACTTGCTAACATTTATAACATCTGATACGTGTTATTGACTCCGAAAATTCATTCTTCAGGCACATATGTTTATATGGCGCCGGAGGTGATCCGGTTTGAGCCTTACGACGAAAAATGTGATGTATACAGTTTTGGCATCATTCTGAACGAGCTGATGACTGGGGAATACCCGTACATTGAAACGGATTATGGTCCTTCCAAGGTATATATACAAGACACTGTTTAGCACGCAATATTAGACAAATTTTTCTTTTTCTTTTTCAATACTATCCCGTATTGTCGCGAATTCAATACCGTTATCTTATTTGTTGTTTTGTTCATAAACAGATAGCCTTGGAAGTTGCAGAAAATGGACTAAGGCCAGCAATTCCTAAGGCTGATCAGCAACTTGGAGAGCTAATTGAAGTGATAAAAAAATCATGGGATGAAGAACCTACAAACAGACCATCTTTTGCAGAAATAACATGTAATTTGAGGATGATTCAAAAGGTATTAACAGAACAGATACCTTGCAGTATATAGTTAGTATCCTTTTGATTTTTATTTTTTTGTTATTCATTTGGAATGTCAAAAAAAAAAAAAAAATTATTTTGAAGCAGAAAAAGGAAAAAGCACAAGGGTTCTCCTTGATTATCCACATTATTGATTGATCGATATTTCTTTATAAAGACGAAATTAAGAGCTAAATTGAAGATGTAAAAATGGGTTGGACCGTCAAAGTTTCTGATGCATTGGTTCCAATCGTGCCATGGGCCGACTCACCTGAAAACTCTGGCTGTATTATGACTAGATCCCTAATTTCGAAATCCATAAGCAGA